CAAAACTAAAGTCAATCATATTCTTTCTAATATCTCAGTAGGATTATTATATACTATTTGTTTGAAAGTAACATGTCTGAGCTTTTCCTCAAATGGTTTTTTTTTTTTCTTTCAATGTATGGAAATTCTGAGATGCCTTAACTTTTATTGATACGCTGTCTTTATGCTTTTGGTAAATTGCCCGAGTGGAGTAGAGACAGGTTCTTTTTAAATGAATGTTGGCTTTATATTGGCGTGTTTGACAGCACTTATAAGTTAGTGGTTTTTCCGATGCATAGGTGGTTAGAAACCGCCATTCATCAGAAAGCTCCACGCCTCTATACACCACGAAGGTCTTCATTAACGGCGCAGAAGATGTGCCTGTAGTGGTTACTCGGAAATGGGAATACCACATTCCAAATGATGGAATGAGGCGCTTGGAAATCGGCTACCGTATATATTTCCCTCACGTATCATGATGGGAATGGCGCAAAACGTGAAAACGCATTGCCAATCTCTTTCAAGCAACTCCGTGCATCTTGCTGCTAAATGTCCATGGGGATCACGTAAGGAAATGGTACCACCATAATCTTGTCGACAGCAAGCAATGAATCTGATTCTAGCACCACGCTTCTGAAGCCCCCATTCCAAGCCTGTTCCAATCTTTCCAAATGCCTAGAATTTCTTATTGAAGAAAGCTACCCATTCGTGGTAGGAGTGTAAACCAAACAACCAGGCATGATCCCTGCCTACCCTGCCAGTCAAAACCGACCCAATTGGACTACGAACAGGTCCATCGATATTAACTTTGATCTGGTCTCAACTCGGTCTGACCAAAAATTGTTTCTTTTTTTGAACACGGGTGGGTAATTACAGGAGGGAGAAAAGGTGGGGTACGAATTCTACAGTTTTTTTTTTTTTTTTTTGACAGTAAGAAATGATAATGGTTAGTGTTACTATTTGTTTGTACTTGAAAAGGATCGAACTGCGGAAGGAGGTGTAGTCCACCTATTACCCAAGGATAGCGTGGTCACCACTGAATCACATGGGGATTGCGAACTCTACAGGTTAAAATAAGATGCTTTTTAATAATATTTAAGTGACTATTTAGGTCACTTGAGCTTCTCAGTCTAGCCAAAATTTAAAAATTAAGAGAATGAAAAACTTAATTTTAATTTTTAAAATGATTTATAAGCAATTATTATTAGCTTTTGATGTACTTGCTAAATAGCTCTTTAGTTGCTAAGTAACATGACAACTTACTAGGATAAAGCGACATTTAGTAAAAAGTGCCGGCGGGCCTTTTAATTATACGCTTGATTATAAGATGCAAAAAATTACGAGGATGATATAGTTACAACTTATAACGTCACAAAATATTTTAAATAAATTTATAATTATGATATATTATTATATAATTAATTTTTTATTAAAAATTTATTTATAATATTATATAAATTTATTTATTTAATAACATATTTATAAATTTATAATTTTATATGATATTATAATCATATAATTACGAAAACATAACAATACGTGATGAATAAGAGATAAAGTGGGACAAAATTTGGATTCAATGGTCACTTGGGAAGATAGATTCACAAGGAACCAAATCTTTATCCCAATATTTTTATGTCCTATCTACCTCTTTTTTTTTTTGATTTCTCGTTCGATATCTGGAGTTTTGTCCCGACTAATTCGGATTGACCTGTGTCGCGCACTTGGAGATGGTGGGTGAGTTTCCCAACGAAAACTGCTGCGTACATAAAGTTTCAAACTTGAAACCTTATTTAAACTGAAACAAGCCACTTACCAATTGATTCAAGCCCTCGTTAGTCTATCTACCTCTTTTGCTTCTCAACTGTTGTATTGTGTACTTAGTTTTGTTAGTGTAACATGTAAGTATGATAAATTTCATATTTAACACCTTTAGAGGTGTTTCTTTCTTCTTCTTCTTCTTCTTCTTTTTTTTTTTTAATTTATTTTTGTCGGAATTTTATTTTTAAAGGGTGGCCCGGTCGGGGTGGTGGTGGAGGTGGGATCGGCGATACAACCCGCACCAGACATATCCATTGGGGATTTTTAAGTGGCTTGCCACCTAAGCTACTACTTAGTGATTGTGATTAGTGGATGCTTAGTTAATAAATTAGTTTACTCTCTCCTCATTGATTAAATTTTGACTAATTAAAAAGATAAATAAAAAAGTAATTCTCTTTTTTATGAAATTTTCAATTCTAATATGAAATAACTTACATTTTACTAAATTGAGGTTTGAAGAGAAAATTGTGAAATTTAATGTGGAAATGCCTGATTGTTTGAAAAATGTAAAATTGGAATTAAAAACAAAGAAAACAAAAAACAAAAGAAATGATTACAAAGAAAGCAATTATCAAAGTTCAAGAACGTCACGGGCCGGCGCGCTCAATTCAGAGTTTGAAATTAAAAACGCGACATCAACAATTTCGCCACCACTTGCCCAAACGTTCTGGTTTGACCCATCCAGCCCCCCAAAAATGTTACAAAATAGGAAAAATGAATTAAACAGAAAAAGAGAATGAAAATGATTTTGAGATAATTTTTTTATATTTTATTTTAGTATAATTTGATATATCATTTAAATGGTTAATTTTTTTTATTTATATAAAACTCATAATATTAAATATATCTACTTATTTAATAATATATTTATAAATTTATAATTTTATATGATATTATAATTATATAATTACAAAAACATAACAACACGTGATGAATAAGAGATAAAGTTGGACAAAATTTGGATTCAATGGTCACCTGGGAAGATAGATTCACAAGGAACCAAATCTTTATCCCAATATTTTTATGTCCTATCTACCTCTTTCACTTCTCAAGTGCTGTATTGTGTGCTTAGTTTTGTTGGTATAACAAGTGACTATTGTAAGTTTCATATCTAACACTTTTAGAGGTGTTTCTTTTTTATTTTTTTCGGAATTTTATTTTTAAATGGTGGCCAGGTGGGGGTGGTGGTGGAGGTGGGATCGGCGATACAACCCGCACCAGACATATCCATTGGGGAGTTTTAAGTGACTTGCCACCTAAGCTACTACTTAGTGATTGTGATTAGTGGATGCTTAGT